TTCAGTCTCATCTTCTCTGGACCATCTAATTGTATAGGAAACAGAAAGTAAGGTTAGTTTGTTGAGTTATTGCAATACGTTTATCTCTAAATCAAAGCAAACAGTAAACTGTTATTTACTATAGAACTATTTTTGTTGTATTTTGAATTGATCATGTTTCCATTTTTCAACTACTCACAGCTCACAAAGACGCTAACTGGATCGCTGATGCCAGAACTCACAGGATTGGAAACACGGCACCTATATGTACCATGGTGATAGCGGGAGATACCGGAGAAAGTCAGAGTGGATCCTCCATCAGTGATCTGAAGTCCACCACCCGCTGTAATCTGAGAGCTGCCATTCATCCAGGCGAAGGTGAGAGATGATCCAGAGGAGGAGCAAGACAGACTACCAGGTCTGTGGAATTCAATCAACTCCAAATTCTGTGGAGTTACTACTACATTGGAGACTGGTTCTGTTGGTTTAAGAAGATGTTCATGTTGTTAGTTTTAAGCTCCCAAAGAGGACAACAAAGACGAGAAAAAAATAATTAAGCTCCATTTATATGCATGCTTACAACTGAATTTTAAAAAGATTCTAAAAGTTCCTGAGCTATGAATTTCAAAGGTCTCAAATTATGGCAGTGAATGAAATTATAAAAATAAACCACCAGGTATTTACAACATTGATGGCAAGCTAATACAAATGGTAGAGGATAATGTGTCTTGCATCCGTCATATTATAAATATGTGATTTTCAAACTGTCTATATACATGACAATGGAAGTGAGTATTGCAGTGAGCCAGTCACTCTTTGCTGAAGTCTTACACACAGGGCAACTCTCAGCCTCTTTGAGCAGTTGGAAATACTTCATGTCTCTATTAATCTTTGTGTTATTTTCTGTTCCCTGTTCTAAGAACCCCTCTGCAGAACTACTCTCCTGAGTCACCCTAAAGAAGTTACCTGGATTCATCTACTGAATTGGAACTGCTCCATCTTCATGACCTGCCTGCCCAGGTATCTTGATCTGCTCTGATAGCTGGCCCTAATTGCTCATTTTACTCACCTGCCTAGTTCTGTCCAGCTCCTAATCACTCATTTCATCCACCTGCTGGTTTCCCTTATATTGGGGTCAGTTACAGCTATCATGTCCAGATCATTGTTTGCTTTCTGTTTGTTCCCCGTTTGAATCCTGTTTGTGTCCTGTCTGTCAGTTTTGTTAGTTTTAGGTTTATTTCCAAGGTTCATGTTTAAGTGAGGAGATTATTTTTGGGCCCATGTCCTCAGGCTAGTTTAGTGGGAAACGCTGTTTTTTTTGTTTTGTTTTTTTTACATTGGGCCCTTGATTTTATGTTATTACATCATGTTCTACTCACCCATGTGAGTTTTGTGTCATTTGGAGCCGTTCTGAAGATATTCCGTTATATCCAAGTAACGTCTTCCTATGGGCAAACGACTTGAAGGCAAAAACGAAGCTGTTCATAATCTATCATTTATTGTTGGGAGCTGGAGTAGTACCATCTTTCTCCAGCAGAGTCCGCCGTGGATCCTCCTGAGCAGAGCCTCCTGCACAGCTGCTGCTCATTACCATCATCAGAGGATCCACTATATAAGCTGTCTTCAGACCTTGC